TTTTGAAGATTTGACTTACCGATAGGATTCAAATTCAAATTGAGGCCTATTAGATCTGATCGGATCAGATCCGGCATGATCAATGTTGGATTAGATTCGAATCTGATCCGATCTATTTGCATCCCAACCTTAGTTAGAATTCTCTAAAAAGAGACACAAAAATGTCCAAATACCCATGCAATTACTTTTAACCAAAATGTTATTTTCCAATTTTGTTTTCATTATCAATCGCTACCCTAAGCCCTTCCGATCACCTTTCTGAATGTAATTTATTTTTCAAATTTGCCCTTCATACCAATCACTCAAAGGTAAAATTGCAACTTTAAAATCTCTTTTTTTGTTGTTCATAAAATTTGTATTGTTTTTTTTTCTATAGAAACCAGTCTCAATAGTAATTGCATGGGTATTTTGGACATTTTTGTGCCTCTTATCAAAGGATTTTAACAAAGGGGTCTACTTGCAACTATGTCAGAAAGTTTAGGGGGTGGTGATTGCAATGACCAAACTTTAGGGAAAGTTTTAGCAACAATCAAAAACTTCTGGAGAGGTTTTAGCAATTTACCCATTCTTTGTTGATAATCGATTTTGGGAAAATACACGATGATGGAAAGACATGGTACTGGAAGAGCTTTGACCAATCACAACCTACTCGTGAATTTTAATAAATACCACCTAATTGATTGCCACATTTATTATGCAAGGAAGATTTGATATGGGAAGCAATGTCCAGAGAATCAAGCTGGGCATAGAATTGGAAAAGGGAGATGTTCACATGTCAGAAGTTCAATTGGGTCAAACCAATGGTAGAATCATGGTGATGTGGCAATTATGTATATATATAATGGGTCATATAACACTATATATAATATATTTTACAAATTTTATCTTATTAAAATATGGTGTATGGATGACAAATTACTTAATTTTTAAAGCAAATGAACAAGGTTCTAGTTTCTTAGGCCATGTTTGGCATCAATTCTAATATTTTTCTCAGAATCCATCCAAAAAACAATGGATTTTGGATTTTCTTGATTTTAAGAGTATATGTGTGAACGTTTGGGACACCTTTTTCTCATAATCAAGATAATGTCTAGGAACAAATTGTTGAGAAGGGAACTCTAGATTTGAAATGATCACCGTCGGGAATTCACTTACCATGTGAGCACATGACTCGTGGAATGGTTGAGTTGCAGAGGTGAAGAGGATGAAACCTCTACCTAGAAGAAAATTAGGAGAGGGAGCTTGGAACCGGGAGTGGCTTCATGAGGGCAAAAGATACAAAGCCAAGTCTTGTTGGTGGAGTTGATAGTAACGTCTTTGGTGAGGATGGGTTGGAGTGTCGTGCCGATCAATCTTTCCAAATGACCAAACCTCAACTTCTAAGAAGAAAACATAAATTAGAAAACAAGAAAGAAGGGAATGGGGTAGGGTTTCAAGTAGGTGTTTTAAGGATAACGGGAATTACTAAAGTTCCCTCAATGTTTGTTAATTCGATTTAACATGGCGAGAATTTGGTCGAGCGAGAATCGTGTTTCTGAGAAGTGAACTTTTTTCACTCCGTAGAATCTCGTTTCTGGAGGGATTTTTTCATCCCATTTCGAATGAGAATCAGTCACTTGGTTACACCAAACATGATTCTCATTCTAAGAATCACCAGAATCGGTAGAGTCCCGACAAGTGATGCCAAACGGGGCCTTAGTTTACAATTTCTTTAAAGTACATGTATAATATAAGTGATTGTGGGTTCAATTCTTGTCACATGTATTTTGAAATTTTAAATATTTATTGACTTAGGTGGTTTCATGAAACATGGACTGATTAACCAATTTTCTTATTAAACCATTTTTCACTAGGTTTTAGCAAGTCCAGTTCTTGGAGTGTGATTGATTCGATCAGGTCACGGTTTAACTGGTTAGATTAGAGGTGTAAAGTGGGCTGTGCCGAGCCGACATGGCACGACCCGCAGGTGGCCAACACAAAGTGCGGGTTGTGCCACCCTCTTCGATGAGAAGTTTGGGGGTCGACCCGGCACGGCCCACGACCCAATCCTGTTCGAGCCCATGCTATGTCGTGCCATGCCCTGGGCCTGGGTTGGGCCGTGGGCTTGGGCCGTACTGGGCTAGGCCACAGGGTGGGCCTTGGGTGTGGGCCGAATCGGGTTAGACTAGTCTTTTGACTTTCTTTTTGTTTTTTTTTTTGAAAATTTTGATTTTTTTCTAAGTGATAGTGTAAAACTAAAATATTTAACTTTTCTTTGAACTTTGTGAACTATTTGAAAAGTTAAGAAATGAGAAATCTAACCAAATAAGAATTATGGAATAACAAATTGGAAGAAAAATAGGAATTCTATTTCATTTAAATTTGAATGATACAAATTACAAAGCATACAATAGTTGGATACTTGGATGAATAAAATATGAAAATGGAATAAATTAATAAATATAAAAATATAATATAATTACAAATTGAAAATACAAAATTACACTGTTAAAAAAATAGCAAATAAATTAAATAAATTTAAAACAAAATTTACAATAATTTGAAAAAAAAATCTATACAACTAGTCAAGTATTGTTCATGACTTTCAGGTGAAATATCGGGTGTAGTGTCATGTCTTGCTTTGTCTTGTAATCTATCTTCAGCATCCAACCAATCTTTAAAGCATATGCACCTCTCTATACTTTCATCGTTCATGCAGCTTCTCTTGTCATCCAACACCCTAGTACCTGCATTAAAACAAGACTCCGATGGAACTGTAGACACTGGAGGGGTTAGTATATCAAATGCCATGGCGACGAGAACTGGATAATTTTTTGAATGTTCACTCCACCAAGCTAAAATATCAAAATTATTTGTTCCCTCACCTAAAGTAGAAAAATTTGCTTGTAAATAAAAATTATGTTCAGTAAATGAATTTGTTGTTGAGGTAGAAAATTTCTGCCTTCTAGTTATTAAATAAAAAAAGTTTTTCTCTCCTACTACTGGGCTTAAGTTCTGAAGTAGAAGATGTTGTATAAGTTGTAGAATTATTTCCTATTACTTCATATTCATATAAACTGTACATTGCAAATAATAAATTATTAATTTCTTCTTTTTTATTCCAATTTCAATATTCATATTTTCATAATATGTTTCAAGTAAAATATTTAAACCATCTTTCCTAATCCTAGGATCTAATATTGTAGTTAAACAATAAAGAGGAAAAATGTTCTCCCAATATTTTTTTAAATTTATTTTCCATTATTTCCACAATACTTTTAAATTGTGGATTATTTCTATATTTTGCAAAACAATCACTAATCACCATTAATTGATAAGATAAATTACAACTAGTTGGATAATAAATACCCGATAATTCATTAGTTGCATCATAAAAATGTTTTAAAAAAATCTCTTATACAAACTGCCATTTCCCAGTCTTCCACAAATATAATATCATTAGGCATCTTTGCATTATAAAAATCAGTAAGAATTTGTTTATGAGAATGGCTAGTATCACCCTTTGTGTTTGTGTTGTTTCTCTCCTTTATTCTTCTTTCTCATTCTCATGTGTGACCAAATGTTTTCTCAAATGGCCAGTATCACCCTTGCTATAATACCTAAAGTCTTTATTACATTTTTGGCAAATTGCTCTTTTTCCCTTCCCCTCAACATCCCCTACTTTAAATATTTTCTAAACCGGGCTACTTAACTTAGAGGCCCTCTTTTTCTTTCCCCTAATATCAGTACCAGGGGTGAAAGTTCCATCAATATCAATAACATCCATGTCAATGCTAACACTATCATGATGCGACTGAATATCATCGATAGTGAACATGTTGGGGAATTGGTTTTGGGAAGAGCCAGCCTTTTTTTTTTAATTCTAAAAAAATAAAAATTAATTTAATTGGACTTGCCCAGATTGCTAGTTCAAAATCCCAACTTGATTTCAACGGCTAAAGTCTTTCAACTCCAAGAGTCCAAGCTTCCCAAATTGCTAACTTGAGATACTTGAGCTGGTTGAGCAAGCATTCTTCTTGTTGAAACTTCAATAAAGTTGAGAATTGGAGAATAAGACAATCAGAGTTCACTCAGATTGCAAAGAATGTATAAGAGAGAGAAGAGATTAAGAGAATTATTGAATTTGTGTGATGAAAATGGTAGAGGATATGGCTATTTATAGGAATTAAAAATAATTTAATTGTCCAAAGTACCCTAAAAACTAGCTATTTTTTAGTTGTTAAGAGGGGTATTTTGGTCATTATAAAGTTATTTATAACTTTACCCAAAATGCCCCCCTAAACTAGTTATATAGCTATTGGGGGTTATTTGTGTCATTTTTCTCCCCCATTACCAAAATACATAAATACCCCCCTATATAGTTGTTTATATCTATTAGGGGGTATTTATAAAAAAAAAACCCAAAAAATTGAAACTAGCCACTGATGGAAGGGGGGGGGTCCCTAACGATTAATTCTCGGACGAGCCAAGTGCGGCCAGCCATGGGCCGTATCGTGCCAACCTATGGACTTCAAACCCCAGGCCCAACAGCACGGCACAGACTATCGTACTGGGCCAATCTAAAGTCGGGCCGAGTCGTGCCAGACCACAAGCAGCCTGTCCCGATTTACACCTCTAAGTTAGACCAACCAGTCCGGTCCAATTTCATAAACATTGATGGGAAGGGCTTTGATGTAGTAATACAAATGGGTTCAACTATAATACCAGAAATAGATCATATCTAAAAAAAAATTGTGACCAAGCAACCGGTATGGCGATATAAAAATTGATGGGTGGTTTTTGATTGAAGAAGGTTCTTGCGTACCCTCATAAATTTTCCCAATACAAATAGTCAAATAGATATGATTTAAAAATTAAAAAATAAAAATGCGGTGAGCGTGGATCGAACACGCGACCTTCAGATCTTCAGTCTGACGCTCTCCCAACTGAGCTATCCCCGCGCTTATAAAGCCGGTGGCATTTATCAATTAGTGGAAAGAAACTAAAATATAGAGCGACGATATTTCAACGGCAGATTGTTTTTGGATAAGGTCCGTCTGAGAGGAGTCTGTGAAGAGTACTGGGACTGAGAGAAGAAAAGATGGCAAGAACCAGCAACTTCCTCTCGACAAAAAGCATCAACACCCCAATTCCATCTCCCTGTACTGAATCTAAACCCTTCAAATTCCCTCCTCGCACCTTCAAAATCGAAGCTGCTTCTTCAAGGAAAAATGATGATCTGGTACATTATTTTTGATTTCTTGTTTGTTGCTTCTTCTTTAATTCTTCTCGTGTACATTTTGTTTCTTCTTTTTCTTTTCTCTTTCTTAAATTTCTTCTCTACACTTCTGAAATCTCTGCAACCCCTCCCAAACAAATGGCTCTAGTAATTGTTCATTAACTAATGGTCAGACTTAAGGCAAAATTTTATTCAATAAAATCTACATCTATCACTTTCTATTCAAAATTTTTAGTCATCATTAATGCACTTAAGAAGCATTTTACATAATTTATACATCCCTTACTATTACCAGAATTTTACATAATTTCTAGTAGTGGAAATGGAAATAAAAATTGAATCAGAAAGCTTATAGGCTCTCTTGTTTGGGATGCTTGTGGAATCTGTGCCATCAGTTCCAGGGATTTAAACTTTTCTAATAGGAAACTAAATTTGAACTTCAGAAAGGGAAAAATCTATATTATCAAAAAGACATGATATTGGAAGGGTTTTGACCAATCAAAATTCATAAATATCATCTGATTGAATACCAGTTTTTTGGTATCATAGTCAAACCTGTAATTTTTACACATGTCCCATAATTACCCAGTTTGAGAAAAATCTGCATTTCATTGGTTGCATGTGACCTTCAATGAAATGCTAGTACACCAACTTTTAAAATAAATTCAGAACATCACATCAACTGATTTTTTATTCAAATGATGTCATTAGAGGTCTCATGTGAGTGAATTAGGATCTGCTCCTCATAGAGCATTCTTCATATCGACCTTACAGCCACATTCCACTGTGTATTGGGAACACCTCCCATGAATAATGAGATAGGAGTACAAGAGATGTTTCGGATGTGCAGCTGTACATATTGTGAAGTTGGTGAAAGTAGCACTCGGTGCCATGTGAGTATGTGACCATGGTGCATCATTTTTTTTCTGAAAAAACGACTGTTCAGCCCATCCCAGAATTCTTAGCCCCATGTTACAGGTGGGATGAATCTCGACCGTGGATTAATGCCAAATTCACAGGCAATATGCGATTTATAGGGGGGGACTACTAATAGATTACGGGGAGCTGTAATTTCAGATTTCTGCCGTGGAATGCAGTGTACTTCACTGTTTTTTTCTCCCCCGGCCTACCTTCAAATGATTGAAAGCAAAATTTTTAAGTTATTGGGTGCTTAATATGCTCACAAGGGTGTAGTTAAACCCAACTACCCAAGTCTGGATAAAGGTCTGAGAGGAGTCTTGCTTCTATTCAAGATATTGAGAAGAGGCTCAAGAACCCCACGCCGTCTTATCAGCATTTCAACATCAGATGGGAGATGGCATGGTAGATGGACCTCTGACTATGTTTATTCTCTGGAAGAGCTGAAGCTGGCAGATCTAGCAGAGGATGGGCAGAAAAATGCAGAAGTCTTGATCAGCCTCAACATAGACAAGGTGGTTCTCCTACATCTCTTAAGTTTAGCTAGACATAATCAGAACTAAACAGATGTATGGGTTGTAGCAGTGATTCAGTATTTCTCTTTAAGCAGCTTGTGAATGGAGATGCATTTCTGTTGAATGATATGCTTCAAGATTATCAGTTAACTACAAGTATCCTCTGGTTTCCAGCATGCAAGCTTTGGGTTTTCTGTGAATGGAAGGATAGTCACATCATTCATTAGCAAATGCAGCTGCTGCTCTTCTTTATACTGCAGAGAGGTATGCTCAGATGCTCACTTAGAATCTTGCATTTAGACCTGTTCATGGCCCAGATAGCCTGACGGCCCAGCCCGCACCTTGGTCGGGCTTGGACGTGTAGTTAAGCCAGTGGGCTGACCTTGGGTCCAAAACATCAAGCCCGATTATGTTTTGGACCGAGCTCGGGATTTGTCAAAAAAACCCAGTTTGAGCCCGGCCTGGTCCGATTAATTTATATAATATAAAATATATAATATTTATTATAATATATATATATATATATATTAATATGTACATTTTTTATTTTTTTTATAACTTCTAAACTCCAAACTCCCAAGTTTCAAAACCCTATTCGAACTCGACGTTCCCCTTTCCTCTCTCTCTCTCTCTGTTCAGCGATAGCAGCGGCAGCAAGTTGAGCTTTAGGCTTTAGACTCGGGCCCAAGCCTAAGCTTTAGGCTTTTTATGAGGACTGGGCTCGACCCAAGTTGTAGGCCCGATGGTCAAGCCGGATTTGAGCTCAGGCCTTAAAAAATCTATTAATAAAGAGTGAAAGCCCAACCTAACCCATAAACAGGTTTATTTGTATTACTTGATACATCATAATGCTGCATACTCATTGTAGATGATCATTTCCTAGACATCCACTGTGAGCTGATGGTGGTCCATCTCATCGATCCTGATGGGCCATCATTTGGATTGGCAACAAAGAAAAGATTAATAAACAAATAGTTACAAATATGGTATGGAAACGGTGTGATACTTATCCCCAAAAATAGTCTTGCTATAATAGTGAAAACAGTATGACACGTAACAAGTTGATAATCCAATGATGGCGATTTTTATCCTATTCAGCGGCTTCCACTCCTAACCACCTTGACAAGGTGGGTTTTTTGTGTTTGAAAGATGGACAGGTTTTGGAATTTTACAACCTATACGGGTACAGATGGGGTACAGTATTAAGTTAAACCCGGTTCTCCTTGATTAGGGGTAAGCATTTGATTTATTCGGTTAAAAATCGAATTAAATAAATTAAAATTTAAAAAAATTAAATAAAAATATAAAAACCAAATCGAAACCGAATTATAAGAAAACTGAAATAACCAAAATCAATATTTTTTATCCAGTTTTCAGTTATTTTGGTTGAAAACCAAATTTAATTAATAATATATAAATATTATATATTATAACCTATAATATATATTATGAAATTGAATTTCATTATAATACATATTAAAATATAAATATACAGCATATTATATATTATATGTTATATATTGTATATTATATATTACATATTATATAGTGAATTTTGATTAATTCGGTTTTTTCGGTTCACTAAAATTCTAACTCTAAAAACTGAAACTGAAATTTTCAGTTTGGTATTTTGGTTTTAACCGAATAATACCCACCCCTATCCCTGTCCCTGACTTGCATATTGTTGGAAGGCATTTGAATTTATGTATTAGGTATTAAATTTAATAATATTTTGATTTTTACATCAAGAACAATTGATAACTTATGTGTTTTCTACATGTTTAAATCAAATACTAGAAATTTTGATGTTTTTTTCATGCTATTTTACTTGTTTGTTACTTTTATATATAACATGAAATAATAGAAAATTAGATGCAAATTCTAATTAACCCGCTACGGGACACCCTCAAATGTGGGAAGGATAGGTTCAGGGAGGGATTTGCATTTTCATTTGTGGAAAAGGTTTGGATTTAAAAATTAACCCGCTATGGGTTTTGGGGAGGATACAAATTGGGAGATCTAGGAAGGCGAATAGTGTCTAGAATTTAGAAAACCGTTCCCCCACCCTGTTGCCATCCCTACAATCCCTTGGGCGGTTCTAACCTGAGCACAACCCGACCCAACCCAAGTTAAGGTATTGCAATTTGGGCGTTGGGCTGGACTTGAGACTAGCAAAATCATGGTCCGACCCAAGTTAAGGTATTTGGTAGTTTGAGTCCGATCCAAGCTAAGCACAATGTAGGTTTGTGTTTTTTTGTTGGATTTCACTGAAGTTATATATTAAAAAGATGATGAAAAATAGAAATATAATGGCCAAATACTCATCTAGAAGGATTAATCTAATTTATAGCAACCCTTTGACCATTTAGGTTTAATTGATTTTTAATGAGAAAAAAGTTAACATGTACAGGCCTGACAAACCTGTCGAACCCAAGCCTGGTCTAACACAATCTTGAAAGTGTTTGGGTTTAGGCCGGTTGGACTTGAGCCTACAAAGTTAGGCTTAACCCTATGCGGGCCCTAGGCTGAAGCTCTAGGTTTCACATTTAGGGTTGGGCCTGGATGGGCCCAGCCCACCTAATTTGCTGCCCTAATTCACTCAAATTAACAGATTTTGATTGGTTAAAGTTTATAAGTTATTGTACCTTCAATTAAAAAATAAATGTAAACTTTTAATTTGAACACATTAAGGGTTCATTTGGTCCGGAGTCTAGAATTGGAATTCAACCGTTTGATTGGACGGAATTAAAATCTAATTCTCATTCTGGGTTGAGTGGAATTCCTCGGTCCATTTGAGGGAATGGTTATTCTCTCCCAACTTTTAGGAATAAAACACCATTAATCCAACTGATTCTGATTCTGATTTCAATCCCTCTTTGAACCAAACAGGCAGGAAAAATAAATCATTTTAATTCTGATTCTGATTCCAATTCTGATTGTAATTCCCACTGCTAATCAAACAGAACCTAAACTAAAAATAAAAATGATCAACAACATTCAAACCGACTTTACTATTTTTTTTACACCACAAACCAATTTTACTATTAAATATATATTAGGATTCGTTTGATTTGCAGTTGGAATCGGAATCGGAATCGAAATCCTCCAGAATTGGAATCGGAATGGTCCTTTCCCATAGTTTGTTTGGTTCAGATAGAAATATGAATGGGAATTAGAATCAATAGGAATGGGATTTTATTCCCAAGGGAGGGGTAGGGAATGACCATTCCCTCAAATGGAGGAATGTCATTCCAACAGGAATGGAAATAGGATTCGGATTCCACCCAATCAAACAGTTGGAATAGAAATAGCCCATTCCGATTCCAATTCCAGACCCCTATTCCCGTGAGCTAAACGGGGCCTTAGTTTTATGTTGATATACGCATATACTGACATAGTTTCATATTTAATCCAATTATAAACAGATCTAACCTGGGATGGGATCAACTTAATTGGATCGGATTTGAATTTGAATTGAGACAATTAGGTACTGTTTGCAGCCCTACAAGAAAGCCCTCCTCCCTGCCTACCCACCCCACTTCATGAGCAATATATAAGCTACTGTTGAGAAGGTTTCACAAGTACACCTTGATCCTCTTAGCTGAGGCACCTCCAGTCCATCAAAAAAACTTGAGTAATCAACAAATAAAAGAAATTGCATAGCCCATGAATTATAAAGTGAAATGGGTAAGGCTTAATGAAGTTGAAGTGATTAGAAAGAAGATAATAAGCAGACCTCAAAAGTATGAAAGTAGTTTTCTTAATGATACTACTTTGCTTCTTGTGATGTGTCAGATTGATACGAGTTTTGATGTCTGGTTGCTACCATCAAGTAGGGATAATCGTTCGATTCAACTTCCTGAAATTGGCGGAGACGATCCATCATTAAGTCCCTAACCCATCTCTCTCTCTCTTTTGAAGAAGAAGAAGAAGAATATTAACATCATCTATATATATATTTTACAGGTGATCTATGTAAAACCAGGATGCGAAGCTGACCTTGATTCACTGATCCGAGATACCATTCGGCTTACAACCTCAGTAAAGGCACGTAGTCTAATTGCAAGATGTGATGTGATATGAGTTTCTCAATTAATCATGAAGATATGAGCAAAATTCATGAAACATTACTCCATGTTTATTTTATTTTTCCTTCTTAATTAAGCTAATCAGCTGGGTCTCTCTTAATTTGTACATGCAGGACACATGCTCAGAATCTTGCGAGAAATCTGAACCTAAATGGCGCTGTATGCACCCTATTAACTCCTTTCTGTTTCATTTTTATCATCATCAAATCTATTGATTAGGTCGCAGTTTCTTACTCTCTTTTTATAGGTGTAATTAGAATGAGAGATGAGAGGGAATGGAGAATGGAGACTTAGGCGAAATTTTCTAACACTGAGATTTATTCTCCAATTAAAATCTAGCCAAAAAGTTGGGTTTGAAGTTTTTCTAAAGGATAAGGTTAAAAATATGAACCCTACTTAACTTCGGGCTGGAAGAAGATTGAGGCATTGTCCAATCTGACCCTTAAACAAGTCCTTCTAATTCAAGCCCAACCTGAAAATCTAATTCAATTAAATTGGATTAGCATAGGAAAAAAAATGGATTATATTTCAGTTAGAATTGGGATTTCAAGAAATCAAATTGGGTTGTGATTGAGATAAATAAATATTAATGCAAGGTTTTTAAAACCGGACTAGACAGGAAACTGTTATGGGGTCCAATTCCCGGGTAAAACGGTCTGACCATCTGGTCAAACAAAAAATAAAAAAAAATTAAAAACATAAAAAAGCAGCCAAAACCCATTCCTGGATTGAATGGTTTGACCGCCTAAGTCAACAATTTGTTAACCAAATCAATGATTTTTGACCAAAAAATAGTTTTAAGGTTAAACTGAACCAATCGTTTTCCGGTCCGACTATCCCATCCGGTCTGATTTTGAAAACATTGTATTAATGTGACTCTTTCGGCTCAATAACATTTTCTCTTAAGAGCTTGGGGACCAAGTATTAGCCCAACTTGATTGTGGGTAATGATGGAATGGGAAAAGTTTGGGGGGACCAAGGACCCCCCACCCAAGAACTAACATGCATCTGCAGCTTATACTGAATCTAGATTATTCCACATAAATTTGATTGAATTTGAATTCTTTAGTAGTGGTTTTGGAATCCTCTCAATCAAAATAACTTGGTCTCCTTCTCTGCACCTTGATCTGAACAAATGAGTTTCTGAAGTTATATTTGCAGGTGTAGATTGAAATATTCATACTTCTCTCAATCTGCCTTGACTGGCAATATTCTATAAATCTCAAGAAAAATGCTTGGGTCCATCAAGTGAATGGGTCTGTGTATATTCAACCTAAGCGCTCTTGCTATTTATCCACTTGATAAAATGTTTTTGTCTACAGATACTGGTGCAAGAGAAGCCCCCATTGATGGAAGGTGGTCAAGACTCCTGGAACTAAGGAAAGCATTGTAGAAACATACATATCGTGAGAAGGATGGAATACAATCTCATGAAAATGGAATCTAGTACGATTCCACATTTCATGTCAAGAGTGTTACTCAATGTAACAATAATGTATAAACAATCAAAAAAAAAAAAAAGTTACAATGTGTAACTATATGTTGCAAATAATACATGTGTGATAACAAACAACCTTGTTCCCTGACTTCAACCTCCCTTTGTACTTGTCACAACTTTGTTATTCTTGCTTTTGCTTCTTCCCCTATGTTTGTGGTTATTCGGTCCAAGGTTTTTAAAACCGGATCAGATGGGGAATCATTCTGGGGTCTAGTTTTTGGGTCAAAAGGTCTAATCAAATGGATAATTCATTCTGACAAAAAAATAAAAAATGGTCAAAAACTGTTGTCTAAATCGACGGTTCAATGGTTCGACCACCTAGGTCAGCAATTCACTAACTAAATCAATGGTTTTTGAACAAAAAACAGTTTTGGGGTGAAACGGTCCTGATTTTTCTAGTTCGACCATCCAATCTGGTCCAGTTTTAAAAACACTGGTCCAGCCCAAAGACTTCCTACTTATCTCCTTATTGAGTAAGCATAGAGCTAAGCAGCAGTAATAGTGCTTAGAGTTCATCATCTAACACCATCTTCATATAGTAGATAATTAATTTACAATGCTATGTAATTCATTCAGATGCTCTACAATGAAACATTGGCACCGACGTCAACAAATGCACTGTATTTGCACCAAAAGATGTTTTCTATAGTCACGACAATGCATGTATTGCAGCAATAAAATGTATTTTAGGCTCAATTTGGAAGAAGTACAAATACAAATATGTCTAGCGCAAAATCTTGTATTTTGTATGTATTTATAATGTATATGTTTGTAGACTCAGTTTGGAAAGAGTAGGGTTTGCACTCTATATATTTGTATTTGTACTCCTAAACTTAGCCTGGGCAAATTTCTGGGTTACACGAAAATCTCCTTTTTTTCTTCTTACTCAAATCAAGTATGGACGAGGTAATAATACAACAATAATAGACAATAGTCATTAGGGGTGAGAAAAATAAAATAAAATCGATTGAAACCAAACTGAAAAATTGATTAATTGAACCGATCAGTTCGGTGTTTTTAAAAAAGCGAAGGCACCGGTGTCAAGTAACCAATATAGAAAACCGGCGGTTAACCGAACCGACTGGTATATATTTTATATATATTTATGTATATTATATTATATATATATATTATTTTTATATATTAGAAATTAATAAATGTGCGTTATATATAAATATATTTATAATATATGATATATTATTTATTATTTAAAATATAATACTATATATACTTATATATATTTTTATAATATATATTGTAAAAATTAAAAAACTGAAAAGTCAACGAACCAAACCAGTCAACCGATTAACTGATTAGCTTCAGTTTGATTTTTGTTACTAGTTTTCTAAAAACCGGTAGTACCAATTCGGTTAAAAAAAAAAGCCCACACTTCAATTAACTGGACCGTGAACAGCCCTAATATTCATGCCAACAAAATTGCAAAATAGCAAAACAAATTATGTAAACTAATGTTTTTTAACATGAAAAACCTCTCCAATGTATAAACGAAAAAACGAGAGGTCATTGATCTAGTAAAATCTCCACTACAATGATAATAGTGGATATACAATAAACACTCTTACCAATAGCTAGAGGAAACCAAACCTCAAAGAGAAGAAACACCCATGGTTATAATCCAAATCTCTCACTAATAAGGTGGAATACAATCAACAATGAAACCAACACTACTTCAAACAAACTTAATTTGAAAAAGCTTGATGCAGCAACTTACTGTGATATGAGCCTTCACATTGAGCTCCCCTTCTCCAAGAAACCATCTGTGTTTTTCTCAAAACCCTCTAAGAGAAAAGCAAAATCTCTCATACATATATGTCAAAATCCTCTAAGACAAGCAAGAATTAATGAAGTGGGCTTTCCTCATGGGGCTGTACCTATGGTACACCCAACAAAAACAAGCAAGAATGAACATCTAAACTATATCAAAGATGAAATACTACTGTTGTTTAACCTCTAATTCTCGAACAAGAATTTGATTGACACCCTAATTTGGAATTAACAGCCAAAGCTGTAAGACAGCAACATAGAAAACATATTCTTTCACTCGGCCACAGATAAAATGCAACATAAGTTCTGCCTCAGTGCTTCACAATGCTTCTCTTGTCTTTTCAAACTTAGGAAAAAACTAGTAATACCAAAACAACTCATATATATATGCCTACGTTCTACAAAGCTCTTGTTAGAATCTCCTAATTTCTAACAAGGTTAAAAATATTTTCTCCTATTTTTGTAATTTTTTTAACCTAATTCAAAGAGGTTGGTTTAAAGCCTGTCTACCCCCTGAACCGGGTTAAACCCCAAAACACCCCTTATAGGTAGGGGTGGCCACGAGTCGAGTCTTTCACGAGCTATTTGAGTTCAACTCGTGAAAAGCTCAGCTCGGCTCAGTTTAAATTGAGCTTCGAGTCGAATTGGAGTCCAATATATAGGCTCGTTTTCTAATCGAGCCGAGCTCGAGCCCAATGAAACTCGACTCATGAGGCTCGCGAGTCTAGTATTAAATAAATAATTTTTATTATATATGCATACATACATACATACATACATACATACATACATACATACATAATATATATAAACAATTTTATTATATATAATAATATTTTTATTTTTTATGTATAAAAATAAATAATTTTTATATTCTTATTTTTTTGTATGTAAAATAAAAATAATTTTTATAATTAGTTTTGTATATATAATATTAAATAATTTTTATAATTCTTAATTTTTTGTCTGAAAAATAAAAAATAATTTTATACATATAATTTTTATTTAAAAAAAATTGGTTTATCATCAAACTCAAACTTGCGAGATATGGACTGAGCTCAAGTTTCTAGCTCGAATCGAGCTCGAGCTCAAGCTCAAGCCTAATACTATTCCTGTGAACCGTGCTAGAATAGCCAAATATTCAGCTCAACTCGGCTTGAATCCACCCCTACCTGTAGGGACATATCAAAAAGCCTCCAATACAATATATATCAAAATTTCAAACCTTAATTTAAACAAGCCTCCAATACGATATATATCTAAATTTCAAACCTTAATTTAAACTGGGTGTGCATTACTCCCCTTTCAATAAAAATTTATACATTAATGTTCTAATTTCTCAATCAAGTGTAAAATTAATTGATCATAAGGATTTCTAACTCTTTAAAATAACTAAGCATGCCAATTACCCAATAATGGCTATATTTTCACCTATTTTAACATTTCAGTAATTCTTTTAAAAATCTGATGAAAAGAAGAACACAAGGCAATAAACAAATACAAACCACCTAATCCAAACATCAAATCTGACTTCACCGATCAACACAGGACATTCAGAAGACTCTCCCAACACGACAATCATCGCCCAAAACAGGCCTACATAAAAAACCCTTCCATCTAAACACTGTATCAACGATCAGACTTGGCCATGAGGTTCTACGTACATATCCCAAAACTCCTGTCCACCCCTTTAGCCACTTGTGAAGCCCAATCACCACTAAATTGGCAAAGATTCGTTCCAAGCTGGTTCAATACAAAAACTGATCAATGATTAAACCACACAATCTGAACTTCAATTTTGATTTTACCATTGAACTCTTGTCTCTTTGCATTCATAAAACCCTCCTAGGGCAAAAACAAACCCAATAAACGCCAAAATTTACCACGTAACTGTTGTCAGTCCAAACCGTCCCAGGTCCAACAAAGAAAAAAAAACTCACAATCTGAGTGTTTGATCAATATTGAAATTTCATCAAAAAGTTTTGTAGATCAACCACTAAATCCCAAAAATTTTGTTTTGACATTTCGTGTTAAAAACAATTGAAAGGCCCAGAAACCCCAATTTAAGCTAACCAAGCACCCCAAAACTCATTTTAGCACCTGATTTACCACCCTAGATTCTCTAATTGTCGGAAAGGCCTATTCATTTGTGTGTGTGTGTGTGAATTAACACTTTTTTTCCATTAAACCCATTTGATAGGCACCATAAGAGTTGGATTTAAGGGGTACTGACTCAAACCCCCCTCCCGGCAATGGAAGCTTCTCCCCTATCTGATGGGGCAGAACAAAAACGTGGAGAAGAGTAAAAGTCTGTTTGGTTTTCCATTTGAATTGGAATCAGAATTGGAGTTTAAAACCCTCGGAGTTGGAATCGAAATGATCCATTCCTCCAACCTATTTGGTTCAGCTGGGAATCAGAACCAGAATTGGATGGAATGGATTCTTGTTCCCCAGGGAGGAGGGAATGGCCATTCCCTCAAATGGGACAATACCATTCTATCAGAAATGGGAATAGGATTCTGATTCCGCCCTACCATTCCAATTCTGATTCCAGACCTCTATTCTCACAAACCAAATGGACCCTAAATGGTGGCTGGCATATTCAATGTCCATAGAAGGTAGACCAATTTCCAACATACGCAAGCAGAATGTGTAGGATTCCTTCTAAGCCCTGTTCATTGTCATTCCCCATGGCAGCCATCATCAAAGCAATGAACACGACTGAAAGTGTTGCTTGTTAAGGACAATCTCTTCACTCTTCAGTCCGTCTCTCGTAATTTAGAGTGTTAGACATCAATAAATCGATTTCAAACCCTGCCTAGCAAGAGATGCCTTAGCCTCTCATTGAAGGTACAAGAAGGGGAGTTTGATTCCCCCAAACGAGGGCTGGCTCGTTGGTGTCTTAGCTGGTTTATTTCAGTGTTAATGCGGAACCGAATCCCACAACCAGCACTTTGGGGGAAAAGGGATCAAGGGAGAAGTTATTAATGATGCATGACACCGAATACCCAAAAATAAAATAAAAAATCCCCCAAATGTTATTATCTTCTTAATTCTAACTTGTGATTTATAAGAATGCTAGAAAATTCTCTAAGCATTTAATCTGTGTTTTTTTGCTATTTTTCAATGAGAATAAGCCAAATTGAGCCCATTCACATCGGTTTCCCAGTTTGAATTAAGCCTAAGAGGATTCCTAACCCCTTCCCCTTACTCAAGCTTTCTTTATACTCGACCTCTGACACAGAAGGATTGGAATCACCAATCCTTTGGGCTTGTTTCTCTTCTTTTATATAGCTTCCTAGGAGATGTTCACTCCCTTAATCCGTTGAGTGGCGATTTCAAATTAAGTCAGCGGACAAAAATCTAATGACCACACTGATGGTTCACACTACACATGAATATATGATACATTTGTTAATGTACATTATTCATAGTCAGAGATATCTATGATGCCTGATCAAGATAACCAGCTCTAGATTGAAAGTGTGTATATTTATGAATATTAATAAAAATCCTGAAAAATTTAGATACACCAAGGTTCAAAATATCGATATGCCCGAGCATATCAGGCCATATCCGTATTGTTTTTTTTTTTTTTTTTTTTATTTTTTTTAAAACCAGTTCAAGGGGGCCAATTTAAGACCACCCCTGAACCAGTCAGAACCCCGATACACCTTCTGTAGGGGCATATTGGGGAGCTCCCGAAACGATACGGGCCAATACGTATCGATACTTTGATCCTTACATATTTAATACCATGTATTTTTATGTATATATACCTCATTATTAATAGTAATCTGAGACTCATTTAGTGTAATTTATGTAATTTTCTAGCATACCCATGTGTATCTCTTGAAATTGCCTTTTCAATATTTTGAACCTTGGGTTTGTAATGATCATGGTTTAAGGTATATTGATAACATAACTAGAGATTTTAATAAAACCAGAAATTTCCTGTCGAACAATGTATTCATTGTGTTAGATACTCAATGTTGAAGAAAAAGTAAAGCAGGTACTGAAATGCTGTCATTTGTGGAGATGTAACAACAATTTCCCAAAAGCGAAGATGTTAAAATGTGTCAAAATATCATAGTTATGCTCCATGAGTACCATGTGTTCATCGTCTAATCATGGAGAGAACGAGAGATTCAATGAAGATTATTTTTCTTAACTTATAAAAATTACATCGGACAGATGTGGTAACGCATGATTTCTTATTTCTTTAAAGGGATTAATTAGATTTGTCAGCCCATATATATTCTTTATGATGTAAATGACAAGTAAACTGGAGCTCAAAAGGCTTGTTTTCTGATACAAATACAAAGAACTAATAGAACATTTAAGTTAACTGTACAATTGTGTGGGTTAAAGTAAAATCCTGCAAGAAATTCCAAATCAGTAATGAATACCAACCTGTTTGACCTTATCCTTCTTTAGCATTCCAGTGCTATTGTAACATTCCCGTCTATGGAAACCAAAAGCTCCATCACAGTGAATGCTATATACTGCAGATGGCTTGGATGGTCAATGGATAACGACCTTAATTGTCAACTTTTGGCCAATCCAACTGTTCTCTATAATTGTCATCACCGATATGCCAAGCTCCTTGAGCAATCTCATTGAAAAGTTGCTCCCATCCCCAACTTGAATAACCTAAGAAAAACCAGTAGTCACTGATGGATTGGTTTCCCAATTTCAAATGTTCAATTTCTTGAACTGTAGCCAACTGATCAAGAAAATAAACACTTGGGCGAACTTCTGGGTACTCTGAATTTGTAACTTTTTGGGCCAGACTAACAAGAGGCATCCCTTTCATCATCAGTGGGCCTCCAAATGATAGAGGAGCCTTCTTTAGCAATTCTAACCCTTTATCTAATTCCTGAAAAGTGTCCCACTTGATGTGTTTGTTGATAATCAGACCTTGAAAACCTATTTCACGATCCACCTTCACAATGAGAATCAAGGATTTATCAAATGGGGGTGCATTTAGAAGCTTGTCTGTAGCAGCAAGGATAGAGCCAACAACTACATGAGGAATTGTTTCATGTAAGTCATGCAATGGCTCCAATCCCATTTTGTTTCCATTGGATATTTCACCTGCTATCCTGTCATTTAAGAGGACCTCATGATATTCAGCCTTTGAAACAGGAGTCATTGCATGAGTTGGGGTTGGAGAATTTTTTGAGGGGTCCATCTTCCTGCCACCATTTTCTGCTCCAGTCCAAAGGATCCCTACCAAAACCAAGGAGCAGGCTTATCAGTAGGATACAAATACTGTTTATCCAGATACCAAGAGTACTTCAGAATATATAAAACCTTTAACAGGGAATATAGGATGCTGATTTGGCATCCTATTTTGGCAAGTGAGGCACATACCCTGTGAACACAAAAGTGTCTTAACAATGTAATTCTGGGTAGAGCTGGTAAGAAACAATTTAAGCACCAATAATTTAATAATGGATATGGCATTAAACAGAACAGAATGGCAAAACAAGATTCATGTAGCAGACCCCATATAGGGATAAGGCTTGGATGATGATGAATTCCGGGCTATTATTTAGGAACTGTTACTTGGTGTAATGGAAAAATCTTGGGCTGACAAGTGTAAGAACATGGACTCAAGTCTGAGAGCAGGAGGACGAAGGGAGAGGAAAAAAAGAACCGAGTCCTAAACTGATTTCTAGGGCTCTGATACCATGTGAATAATTCGATTAACCCTACTTCAGTTGTAGGTCTGAAGTAAGAAGAGAAGAAGAAGAAGAGAAAGAAGAGAAGAGAAGAAGAAAGGGTTTGGTCTGAGAAGAAGAAAAGTCACTCTCTCTCAGCCAACCCACTTTATATTTATATTCTTTGTACAGAGTTTTCAAGGTGCCAAGGCAAGGCTAGGCGATAGAGAGGTGCCTTGTCACCTAGTTGCCTAGGTGGGCGCCTAGGCATTGCCTAGGCGGTGGATTTTTTTAAGTGAAAAATACATATCCTAGGTAGTTCCCTAGGTTCCATAACCATCTTTCCTTAATAACTAATACATAATTTTCATAAGAAAATTATAAACTTCATGTTTATGTCTAGAAAATCAACATATTTATGAGAAGAAAAA